GGGGGAGGGAAGTGCACTGAACTATGGTGATGGCACATGGGTGACTTGGTGATGGGAAACCCACGGGGATTACAACTGAGATGAAAAAAAAAAAAAGTACAAAATGATGTAAAAACAAACTATTACATTATATAGAAAAACAAGACGATGGCATGAATTTCCCAGCAAGCTCAGGTACCCTTGGGCAGAGACAAGGCCAAGCATCTCCTCTGCTTGTGAACAGACCCGGCCTCCTATTTCTGAGGGGAGAGAAACTGAGTAGTGCAAGCAGACCCTGAGCAATAGCTGGCTAGCAATAGCTGGCTACCCCAGCTATTGTATGGGAAATGCTCCCATACAATTCTGAATCCAGAAATACTCTACAAGCACTGAAATCTCGGAGATGCAGAGCGTGCTCACATACATGTACAGCTAAAACCAAAATGAGAGGAAAGCGCACTGACTGGTTTCCACAGGGTGTACAGGAAGGCCCGGTTTGGGAAACCCTGGCCACAGCATAAAACACACAGTCCCAAGCCCTTCACCATCAAGTCCCTTTGCTGGTGGCTCCTGTGACATTCTGGAATGCAGAAGTCGCCTTCTCCCCTCCCAGCCTTGGAATACAGTTTTCTATACCTGGATGGACCGACTCCCTTCTGCTCATTTCCCAGGGGTGTGATCTCGCCTTTCTGCACTATGGTACTGCAGACCTTGTCACTGCTGTGGCCACCACTTCAAGCCCAAGGTCCATGGAGGTGACATGATACTGTGAGGGTTGGGGGGCAGGTGCTGCAGACTGGGTTTCATCTGTAGGGAGTGGGCTGCGTCAACCAATTGCCCTCCTTTGCCAGACAGGCGGGGGGCCTTGGACCATATTGCTTCTCAGAGTTGTTCCTGCATTACCTGGCTGAGGTGGAGGGAGAGGAAAGGAAGCAGGGCATGGCTTTCCTTCTCTGGGGTAAAAGGCAAGAGTAATTCCTCCTTGCCCTTCTTTTTTTCCCAACAAACTCCCAAATCTGTGATGTACAGTCATACAGATAGAGTAAAACAACCCCTGCCCTCAGGTGCCAGGGCCTGGAGGTAAAGTCTGGAAGATGCAATTCCCAACTCAAAGCAGGGAGGCAGCCCTGGGAGTGCCAAGCAGGGAGGGGGACAGTGTCATGCCCTAACTCTCACAAGACCAACTGAGACAGAAATGACTCAGTGCTAGATGGCCAACAGCAGGACAACGGGGTACAGGACAAGGTGGAGCTGGGCCTGGAGCAGGGGAGTCCCCACTGGGGATGCAGGTGAAGGGCTCAGAGGGTGCAGGGTTCATAACTGAGTCTGTGCACCTGGGGAAGGTCACAGGGCCCCCAGCTCCTACTGTCACCTGCCATGACCAGTCAGAACAAATGTGCCAGGTCCTCCAGGCTCCTAAAACAGTGCAGCCTTCCCAGCAACTCGAACATCACCCTGTGCAGGCACTGTTCATCAGTCGGCGTGACGGCGCTACAGCTAACATCCGCCAGGGGCCCGCGGGGGCTGTCACCACTCTTTCTGTATTGCCTCTTTTATCCTCCCAACCTGTTACTACCCCTCTTTCCTGGAGGGGGCTGCAGCATACAGGCCAAGTAACTAAGAGGAAGTACCTTGGAGAGGAAGCCCCATTGTGGTGCCTGGGTCCTAACAGTAATGGAACCCCAGCCCGCCCCTTATCCCTTATTGGTCACCAACCTCAAGATTCAGCATCTCTCACGCTCTTTCGCTTCTGTGTCTACTACCCCAGGAAGGCCTACCACTCCTGTTTCTGTGTCACCCTCAGCCTGCTCCCGTGGCATTCTATTTTGCCCCCAGAGACCTTGCTGATCCTTCAAGCTTTGCTGGAATTATCACTCTTTCGGGGTCTAGCATGCTCTCTTCCAGGGCCCTGTAGCACTTTTGTTCGCACCTAAACTTCTAAAGAGTCAACTTTTCTATTTTTTCCATTTAAAACATTTGTTCTCCTCTAGTTACCAGTTCTGACGCAGAACCTAACTAAGGCTTCTTTATATACACAGTATGCATTTTACTAGGTGATATGGACAAAATGCTTAAGTAAACCTTAAAAAAGGAAATTGCATCACTGTTATGAAAGTACTGTATGCACTGTGGCATTTTTTTCAGTTTGAAAGAAAATGGAGAATCTTATCTCTTTTTTCATAGTCACTGGGAGAGCTTGGTATAAAATCATCCCCATTTTTTTTTTTTCTCTAAAACATGTAAAGTAAAATGCATGAAGCATAAAATTGACCATTCTAACCATTTTTAAGTGCAGAGTTCTGCGGCATCAAGCACATTTGTATTGCTGTGCAACCATCACTTTTAACAGGCTTCACATTCTCACTAGATTATAAGCTCCCTAAGGTCTCAGGTATAACTCAGCTCTGTGAGCAGCAGGTGGCAAGGATGATGCCAGAGAGAGGGCTGTTTTCCACCATGACCAGTGTGTGTGTGTGTGGGGGGGGGGGGGAGGGTGGTATGGGTTGAGATAAGCAGCCTGAGGCCTAGCACCTTCACAGAGCAAGCTAAGGCACACTGTGGAGCACACCGGTCAGCAGAGACAAGTCTTAAGGACAAGGGCTCAGGGTAATACATCAAAGGAGCTCTACAAAAGAACTGTGTGAGGTTGACAGTCTTCAAGCTGGTATTCAGAACAGCATGCATTTTGTTTACCTCTCACAACTATGCTGAAGAAATGGTATGACCTGCCTAAGATGACATAGGTAGAAAATGGCAAAGCAGGACTGATTGCTTTTGTTGCTTCCACCTCAGTTGCAAGAGGAAAGAATGAAACTTGACAATAGTCCGGATATGGGTATAAAGGCCAGAAATGAGGTGGAGATGACTTCAGAGAACAGGCCTCACCTTCTATGATGGGAGCACATATGAGCGGCAGAACTTGCCCCAGGGAATTCCAGAGGATGGTCAGTCAGGACATGTGGGTGGAATGTGGGGTTGGAGTCCATCACATTGACTGGGGCCCACTATGTGTTAGGTCCTACATTAAAATCTTTACAATCAGCTGCCATTTCTCTTCATTGCACTAAGTAAGGGGCTTGCCTGAGGCCACAAAGTTGCAATGGTGGAGTCGATCTTCTCTCTGCCTGGGGATCTATGACACATGTAAGGCTAAGCAGCTGCAGCCCAAACACTCCCTTTAATTAAACACTCACCTTAAATTTACTTGGGAGAGAGCCATAGGGTGTGGAGAGGCCATGGGTATGAGGAATTGGGCAGAGACATGGTTCAGCAAAGGTGCAGGTAGAGGTCTAAGCAGTGGGCCCTGTCCAGATGCTCCAGGGGTTGGAACTGGGAAGGAGCTGACCTGGGGCAAGTGGGGGCAAGTCACCCTGAGCACCCCATGCTGCTTCAGGATCCTAAGGTGCCCATCTGGCTTTTAGTTCGACCACACCCCCGCCATCCCACGGATCTCCAGTTCTGCAGTCTTGGCATCCAATTCTCCACCTAGGGTGCTGCTCTGGCTCTTCAGCCCTTCACTGGACCCCCACACCCCTCGGGTCTCCCGATCACGGCCTTTCTATTCCCTAGTCTGCCCCCTCTTGTTTCTCAGCTCCCCGTCCCACCCCTGTACGCACTGGGCCCATACTTGAGCCTCACCCGAGCCCCCATAGTGCCAGGGCCCCGCGCCCCGGCTTTCCTCACCCCCAGTCCCAGGGGCCTCACCTGCAGCTCCGCGCCCAGCGTTCCGCGCCCTACTCGCGGATCCAACAGCCCCGCCCACTTCCCGTCCCTGGCCACGGAGGGCTGCACGCAGGCGCAGTCTGAGACCGGCGGGCTAGGGGTCTGCTGCCCTCTGGCGGCCTGGCCTGGCCACCAATGACTGCGGCCCTTTCATTTCAGAAAAAATTTCGCGCCCCACCTGGAGGGTCATGTCGAACCTGCAGCTGACATCCTGTGTACTGGAGCCAGAGAGCTCCTGGCAAGCTGCTTCACTTCTCCAGCCTTGGGTGGGTGGGTAGACGGGGGAGTGCAATCCCCGTCTCAGCGACTTGAGCAATCAGTGCCCCGACAAGCAGCACAGTGGCACACAGACTGCCCAGGGCCATCAGCCAAGAAGGTACAGTGGCCTGCACTAACAACACGTTTCCTGTGGTTACTATGACAAATTACCGCAAATGACACAATTTATCATTTACCGTTTTGGAGGTCAGAAGCCGGGAAAGTCTTGATGGGCTAAATTCAAGGTGTCTGCAGGGTGCTTTCCTTTCTGGGGACGTTCGGGAAGAATTTGTTCCCTTGTCTTACCAGCGTGTACAGATTGCTCCATCTTTGGCTCATGGCTCCTTCCATCTTCAAAGCAGGAAACTTTGGAGAAGCCCTTCTTATTCTAGCATCTCTTTGGTTTCTGCCTGAACCTGTTCCCTCCCCCCCCCCTTTTTGAAAGGTCATAACTTCATATATGCACGCCCATTTTATTTATATCTTCCACATTATTGTTTATTTCCCATAAAATTCCCACCCAGTTCACCCATGAATCTTCACCATCATCCCCGTGCTTTTCTCTACCGTTTTCCTGCTCCCTTTTTAAAGCCACTTGCGATGACATTGGGCCATCCATTACCCAGGATAATGTCGATAGTGTAAAATCAGATGATGAGAAAAGCTAATTCCATTTGCAGTTCCACTTCCTCTTTGCCTCATACCTGACATCATCCAGCATGGGTTCCAGGATGAGGACATGGGCATCCTGGGGAAGGAAAGGGCAAGGCATTTTTCTGACACCAAATGATTTTGAAAGACCAAACTGACGCCATGACAGGCTTCAGAATGCTTCTGAACCAGCCAGGCCTAAGTTTCGGTTATCGACAAGGCGCCAAGGCCGAATTTAACTGTAAATGTCCCAATCTTGCTGATCCCATAGCAATAGCCAATTAGCAAGTAGGCAAGTAACCAGGGCATATCAGGAAAACGCCAGATGTCCTAAGGTATGCGGCCAGCTGAGTAGTGAAGGTCACATCTTACATGCATAGATCAACAGGGTTAAGACAAGGTAACTGTTCAATGTCCACCAATCAATGTACTGCTGAGCAAAAACTCCCCTCTGCTGGGCAAAAA